AAAAAAAAAAAAAAAATCTATAAATAAAACCCCCCCTAAAAAATACTTGTCATTTATCCCCATATCCCAAACCCCTAATATTAACTCTCAAAAAATGGCAACACCAAAACAAGTCACATCCCTCTCACAAGCCTATAATAGCACAACCCACCTCCAATCACAACACATAGTTCCGCTCGATTTTAACTCCATTCGCGACCTACCCGAGTCCCATGTGTGGACTCTGCAGACAGCTGATTCATCTGAATCTGCACAGTATTCTGTTCCCGTCATAGATCTAACTGCCCCAGATGTTGTGGGTCTCGTTGGAAATGCATGTCGAGAGTGGGGAGTGTTTCAGGTGATCAACCACGGGGTGCCACTAGGCCTATTTGATGAAGTGGAGGCCCACAGCAAGCGCCTGTTCGGCCTTCCGGCCCAACAGAAGCACAAGGTGTTGCGTTTGCCCAACGAGAGTACGGGATATGGTGTGGCTCGAATATCGCCATTTTTCTCCAAGCTGATGTGGCATGAGGGGTTCACCATCATGGGCGGCTCTGCGATTGAACATGCCAAACAACTTTGGCCCCTTGAATATCAAGAGTTTTGGTAAGCCCATCCATATATTACAAGTATATTATATATATATATATATATAAATATATGTGTATGTATTGTGTGTAGCTACGCATCATTGCTTTTAAGTTCTCACAAACACATATATAAACAAAAGGGTTTCTTTATTTGAGCAAACAAAAGAAAATTTGTGTTTGTGTATATTTAAATTTAAATTAAATTTAAAAGTTTTATTATTGCCTAAAAAGGTTGAAGTAGGGAATTTTGAAATTATTTGAAGATAAAATACTTTTATCAAATTATTTAAAGGCGCGGCCGTTTGCATATTTTTCTATATCATTGGAACTGTCCTCAACTTGTTCTAAGGTTTATTCTTTCGTATAGTATTCAATCTTTTTAATCTGAAATTTCGCAATAGAATGATTGTTCGCTTTTCAACCTTAGCTTTAATAATAACTACAATACCCGTGTATTACACGAGTGCTTGTTAAAAAATTATTCTTAAATTTTAAATTAATGAAGAAAAGTATTTTAAATTTTATTTAATTTTTTTACAAAAATATATATTATTATATATAATTTTATTTAATTTTTTTACAAAAATATATATTATTATATATTTAAAATGACACTTGTTATTTGTGGGACTTACATGTGTTATATTCTAGTAATATTTATAACTTATATCATATAACTACTTGAAATATAAATATATTAATTGATAAATATTTTAATTTGCTAATTAATATTAAAAAATAATTTTATTATTGTTATAAAGATAAATATAATTTATTTTTGTTATACATACAATATGGATATGAAATCGAAGTCCATCAACAGATCATTAATTTGATATATTATATATGCAAAACTGATAAAAAATATAAAAAGTTATTAACTTTTAAAATCCGTTTAGAATTCAATGGTTATAATAAGAAATGATATTAAAATACAATTACCACAAGTACCATGATCATAAATAATCAACATATTTATAGTAATCCGATCCTAATTATATTTGGATTGGAAGTAAATTAAAATGATTCCAAGCCTAATAACAAAGCATGTAATTTTGCCACATAGGATCTTGAAGGATGCAAGTCTGCCACTTAGACGACTCACCACATTTTGAATTAAGATATAGGGGGATTAGTCAAAGTTTTAATTTTGTTCTTTCGTTTGTCCGAAATTGATACATATTGAAATTGAAGTTGTGAGAACATAGTGGTCTAAAATAAGAAAAGTGATCAATGACATAAATTGCCACGTGGCCCGCGTCATTTGTCACGTCACATGCCACATAGGGACACATGCAGAAAAAAGGACTATTTTGAGGTGGTAAAGTTAATGAACCAATTGAACACGATGATCAATTTAGAGTACTAAAATTGAAATTCCGTCGATGTATGGTAATAAATTAAGCATTTTATCAATTATTATTTAAATGAAAAAAAAAAGACAGATATCTAAGGCAAGCTGGGCGATTGGCCCACAGCCCATTTCCAAATGGGGCTTCATTTATGTTCATAAATAAATTATTATTATTTATAATATATTAAAATGAGGAATTTGCATCCTCCACTTAAACAATCTAGAAATATTACATAATTCCATCCCTTATATAATTATTTATAAATTAACTAAAACTGTTATATTTATTTACATATATGCCTAAAAAAACTAATTTCCTATTTCTATGGTAACTTCTCATCAACTCTCTCTCATCTTCCCTCTCTCTCTTCTTCACACGACTCTTTCTCTCTTTTCTTCAGTCAAAACTCAAAAGCTCCCCAATTTATTTTTCAATTTTTGTGATTGATAACCTTTTTCGCTCCAAATCTTCTGATATGATAATTAATTTATTTTTACTTCGTTTCGACTGAATCAGTCGACTCCTTCGAAGCCCCTTCATAGAAGTCCGCCACATCCTCCGATCCTCTTTTCGTCGCCGCATTCGCCTCCGCCTCGCCCAAGCACCGCCGTCTTGCGGGTGAAAACATCCGCGACGAGGCCCGAAGCCGCGCCTCATCACACGGCTTCTCCGCCAAGAATGTCCCCTTCAACGCCAAATTTATGGACAAATTTAATACACAATATCTCGATATCTCTGTAACAAAAATTTCTCGGCTTCTCACCGCCCACCTTCACCATCTCCAGATCTGTAACAAAAAAACTTCTGGGCTTCTCACCGCGCACCTTCACCATCTCTAGAGTATATGTCGAGTATTTTTGCGGTATATGATGCGGCTTCTACCATCTCCAGAGTATATGTCGAGTATATTTTCGGTATACACCGAAAAACTTTTCAGCTTCTCACCGCCCACGACTTTTTTTTTTCGGTATATGTCGAATATATGTCCAGAGTATATGTCGAGCATATTTTCGGTATATGCCGAAAAACTTCTCGGCTTCTCATCGCCCACCTTCGCCATCTCCAGAGTATATGTCGAGTATATTTTAGGTATATGACGCGGCTTCTACCATCTCCAGAGTATATGCCGAGTATATTATCGGTATATACCGAAAACTTCTCGGCTTCGACACCACATGACTTTTTTTTCCTCTCTTTTGCGCCTGAAGAACGTGTTTTCCAAATTTTATAGAAGCCGTGTTTATTTCTTTTCCTTGTTTATCATTGAAAATTATTTTATCAAATTCAAATCTGATTTCCTCCTATTATCACTCCCTGAAATCGTGCCCTATAAACATGGAATGTTTGTTCCATCAATTTGTAACTGATAATAGGCATAAATGATATTACTTTAATGTATTAGGTATATTTACAATTAAATTGGTGTTAATTGTATTATTGCAATTAGTTCCAAATCACGTAGCATCCATAAAATTTTCCCTATATTAAAAATCGATTTTTATAAGGCCCAACCTAATTGAAAAAAAATTCATCTCCTCGAAATGACAAAAGTCAGCTAGTAATTTCTTGGCCAAGGTAATATAATGCCCTCTGGTGGATCCCACCTCTCTCGATAAGTTGAATTGAAAGTCTTATTTCTACTCACTCTTGCGTTTTGAAAAATAAGACTTCTTATATTCAATAATCACTTATTTATGCATAGTGATTATACATAAAAAAAATATTAAAAATAATATAAAAACCAATTATTTATTGTATAGTAAAAGTTGATTTACTTACTATTAAAAAGAAAAATTTCATAAATTTACTAATACAAATATTGTAGGTGGTGTAATTTTTCACAATGTAGATTGGCGGCATTAGTTTTATATTTGGTCCAGTATACCGGACCAGCTCATGTATCCATATATGTACATAACTGAGGCCAAGTAGTATCACAAATTAATTGAATTGAATTTAATTTTTGTACACTTTACTAATAAGAAAGTATTTGCAGTAATGCTATGGACAATTACCAGAAGGAAATGAAGTCAGTTGGCAACAGAATCATGGGCATCATGCTCAAGGCACTAGGGGCGAATGAGGAATATGAAGAAAATATGTTGAAGGATCATCTTTTCTCATCTGAAGGTGCATTGCAGCTAAACTCTTACCCGAGCTGCCCAAACCCTAATCGAGCCGTGGGGTTGGGCCCCCACACGGACTCCATGCTTCTCACGATCCTCCACCAAAATGACACAAATGGCCTCCAAATTTTGAAAGAGGGAGCAGAGTGGATCAAGGTGGAGCCCGTCTTGGGGGCAATGGTCGTCAACATTGGCGATCTAATGCACATTATGTCCAATGCACGCTTTCGACCGGTGTACCATCGTGTCGTCCCAAGTCACATGAGGCATAGGTTCACCTTTGCATATTTTTATGGGCCTTCGCCTGATTATGTTGTTGCGCCATTGGCTAATGTGGTTTTGGATGCGCCGCGTTTTAGGCCGATGATGGTCAAGGAGTATATTCGTCTCAAGTACCACCATTTTGACAAGGCTCTTGATTTTGTTAGGCTTTGATTAACTGATTGGTGGTGTGGTTTTTTTAAATGAGGGGAAAAGAGTTGAGTAAATAATAAATGTTTATTCTCACATGTTTTCTCTATAATAATTTCAATAGAACAAATAGATAGAAGTGTGACGTTACGAATTACATTCACCTTTAGCTATTCGCTTCCTTCTTGGCAACAACTAAAACCAAATATATATATATATATATTATATAACCTTATGATTAATGTACTTAATCACGTCTTGTGACATGACTAAGCAGTCAAAGACTAATCAATTTTAGCTTTGAAACAACATATATAGGAAAATAATAGTCTTTGTACTTGGAATAAGTTGTCACTTGTATTTCAACACTTTTGGTTATATTTGTGATAACAATATAATTCAAATTACTTTTCCTACATGCCTTTTATACTCATCCACATACCACTCACACAACAAACCACTTAATTCACATAATGGGCTATTTAATATATATAGGCCCAAAACTAAACATAATAAAATGAGTCCATATAAAAGACCCAATACCAAATCATAAATTATCTAGACTATGAACTCGGCTCACTCCGGGTACATGACAATACTCCCCTCTCGAAAGAGTCTCGTCCTCGAGACTCATGCTGAAAAACTCGACATTTCTTGAAGCGTATGAGGAGAACTTGTACGACCCAACTTATAATCTTATTAAATTGCCCACTCCAAATGGTTAAAGCCCACAACCAATTGTGATTGGGCCCAGTCCAAAGCTTACCAGCCCAATCTTAAACTTACCAAATTGATAAACCCTTAATCTCCAACAAATAGACCAGCTCGCAAAATCCACCTCAAATTGATAAGGCCCAACTCTAAGCCTTGTAAGTGTCATATCAATAAGTAAACTGATAGCAACCCAACCCAATTTCAATTTCACATTCGGTAGCCCAGCCAACATCCTCTCATTCTCGAAGCTTCTGCCATCGTCCCCTCCATCAGAAGTTGATCGTCTCCTCCGGTCGTGTCCTTGTCGCGACCACGCCTCCGACACAACCATACCACTTGATTTTGGCCCAAAAGAGAAAACAAATCCCACAGCCATTCCCCTTTCTCCCAAGTCATCCATGGCCAGAGAAGAAAAAATGTTCGATTGAAATTCTTGAGCTTTTGCGACCCGGCGACACCAAGCTTCCCGCCTCCTGCCTGGTTTCACCGCCCTTCCATTGCCTCGGATTACGCCCAATTTTATAACGAAATTAGCCACCCAACCCAAATTCTGATAAAGCCCGCCAAAAAATCCAATTGACCAAGAAGTTGGGGTCGTCTTCCACTCCATACCAAAAATCCACAACTTCCCATCTCGTGCCACCTCCGAGCAATTCGCCTAAACCACGCGTCCGACCGTCCACCGCTCTTTGGAGTTCGACTGATCCGAGCCTTATCTCGACCGCCGTTTCGGTTCTTCTCATAACTGAAAGGTCGGCAGCTCCGACGACGAGTCTCCTTGCTTTTTCAGTTCGTAGTCGCTGCAAATCCAGCGAGAAAAGAATAGATTCTCTCCTTTGTGGCTCGTCGTGAACAAGGTTTACGCCTACCCATAGATTTCGGAAGCCGACGAGAACAAGCCTCTTCGAGGCCGCCACAGAGCTTCATGCTCGTCCTCTTTACACCGCCCTTGATGTAAGTTCGCCTTCCCAGATCTATCGTTTCCCTTTGGAACCATCGATCAGAGCCTAACAACTCGCCCATTGAATTTGGCTCCAATTCTAAGAGATGTTGGTAATGGTAAGGTGTTGGAGTTTTAACTGATTCAACGATGAATTCACGCACCAAGTCCCTTGGATTGTCGAGAACTTCCGCAGATTTATGCATTTTTGGCGTTGGAACATCCACCGAAGTCGGATCTGGCACTTTATTTGACTCACCGATATGTGTATGCTCTATCACAACAACATATTGGAGAGTTTGTTTAGAAGTTCCGATCAGGTTTTTGATCAACACAGAGCCTTCATCTCCAATTTTTTTCTCATGATTTCTGTGAAAGATAGGATGGGACACAGAGCCTTCATTTTCTATTATTAGAAACGGGGGAAGAGAGTGCGGTCCCACCAGATGAAGGCGCACTATAAGAGGGTGAGCCTAGATGCACCTTAGTGAGGTTCCATCCCAAAACCAATTGGTGATAGAAGGAGTAGCCCACTAGGCTTATATACTAGACTCATTTTCCCTATAGAATCAATGTGGGACACTCACAAGTGATATTCCAACATCTATTTTTTTTTTCTCATGATTTCTGTGAAGGATAGGATCAGATTCTGGATTGTTTGGTAATTTCATAACACAAATTAGGGTAGTGATAGCTTCAGGAGTAGGTTTCAATTGTGCTGATAATGGTTTTGTTAGATTCTGGAGTAGAGGGGCAAATTTTTGGGACCTAGATTGAAGGATAAGGATTTGCAATTGTATAGAAACAATTACCTCATTTATGTGATCGAATTTCTCATTCATCCCTTGCATTTGCTGCTGAAAATTGGATTTCGTCCCATGGAAATTTGATTTAGATCCGTCGATTTGGCTTTGCAACTTCAAATGGCTAGCCTCTCTTTTCTGAATAGCTAGCTTTAATTTTTGCTCCAAGTTCTTCTGTTATTGTTCTAAGAAATCGAGACTGAGTTCATCAGCCATCTTCCGAGGATCGACCGCTCTTGATACCAATTGTTATGATCTTACTTTTTTGTGATTTTATTTCTGTATTTTTTCTGTAAATAAAGAGAGAGAAGAAGATGTTGAAGATGAAAGAAAGAGAGCAGAGAGATACGAGAGTTTGAAGAGAGAGAGTTTGGGAGGAAAGAGAAACACGAGAGAGATAGGGAAATTTGTTAATTCATTCCATAATTCAAATCACTTTTCCTACATGCCTTTTATACTCATCCACATACCACTCACACAACTAACCACTTAATTCACATAATGGGCTATTTAATATATATAGGCCCAAAACTAAACATAATAAAATGAGTCCATATAAAAGACCCAATACCAAAACATAAATTATCTAGACTATAAACTCGGCTCACTCCGGGTACATGACATAGTTGTAAATGTACACTATCAAAGCAACTCTACAAACTCTAAATAATATACTTTTCATTTTTCATGTTCAACGGTATCCTCTCTATTCTTTCTTCTCTTTCTCTGTGAATTGTCAATGCTCAAGTCTAACATGGTATCAAGATGTTCGGGAATAAATCAGATCTCGTTATGCTTTATGTAGCAGTCTTAGGGTACTCCAATCAGAAAAATCTCTTAGCAGATCAGCCTTACATGACTATTACTAGTCATGGCCACGGGCCGGTCCGGCAAGGCGCGGCCCAACATGTAAACGACCCGAAATATGGCGGTTAAACGAACCGAAATCTTGGATGTGAGGTTTGGTTCTGGTTCTCCCTGTTTGAATTTTTGACCCAGGGTTCCGGGCCCCGTCGCGGGTTGAAGGCGGGCGACGGGCGTTCTTTTTTTTCAGTCGCGTGTGTTCGGGTCGGCTCTGCGCATGCCTGCCTGACAAAGTAGCTGTTGGGCCCGTTAGGTCACGGTTCGGGCCGGTTCAACAGTCGAAAAAAAAAATAGTGATCGTTGGATCGTGATGGTCGTTGAGATCAACCAGCCCACACCTACCGGCCCGCCCGACCTGTCGGGGCAACCTGAAACCCGGCGGGTAAAAAATATAAAAAATAAAATAAACCAAAAATCTGAAAAAAAAAAAAAAAAAAACTTAAAAAATCCTATAAATACCCTCCCCCCATTTCTCACACCTATCTCTCAACTCTTTTCTCTCTCAATTATCTTTCTCTCTTCTCTCTCCCTAAGTGCTCAGTTTTTAGTGCTCCATATATAGTTTTGTGTTCGGTTTTCATTTAAACAAATCCAAAAAGAAAAAAAAAACGGCATCCCCTACTTTTTTTTTGTTTCATCATATTACACATTATTTTCTTCCTATTTTATATTTTATTCTTTAACTTAAAAAAATGTCGACTTCTCGTGGTAGTGGTCGTGGTTCTATCTCCAACCATAAACGTAGAAATGTCAGCACGTCTTCTTCGAGGCCTCCATTGCCAGAATTTGTGAGTCCATCGATACATGTGGATATTCCGTTGGTAATCTGTTGGGAAAATATTTATTGGTAATCCGTTGAGAAAATTTCGTTGGTAATTCGTTGGGAAAAAACTTGTTGGCAATCCGTTAGGAAAAATCTGTTGGTATATTCGTAACTAATATGTTGACTTTCTGTTAGTAATTTACCAACATAATGATTTAGTAACTTCATTTTCTGTTGAGAATCTTTTGACAATCTTATGAAACATTTATGTTGTAAGTTTGTTGGTAATCCATTGACAAAAGTTAGTAACAAGCCATATACCAACAAGAATATCTGTTGGTAAGCCGTTGGCATTCCGTTGGAAAATTTGATTACCAACGGATTATTCTATTGGTAAAACTCATATTTCTTGTAGTGATTATATTTATTTTCTCAAAACTAGTTTTCGATGAGTGAGAAATAAATTATTTAAGTTAGCCATAAATGGGCTTGCAAAACTTTGATTGTGGGATTCAAATGGTCAAAAGTCTTATCCCACATAGGACTCTTAAATAAGATTAACTTTCTTTATTATAATAAAGAGGGTTGGAGATGTCACAATAACAACAAAGATATACACCAAGTGTTGGTGTTGGCTTCGGTCACACGCTCCAAAATTAAAATCCAAATTGAGTTGGTTTTGGACTCGTTTTTTTATCCAACCCGTGTGGCACCTTCCATGTACATTGAACCTGGACGTGTGACCTTAAATTATCCCCACCTGACGGTTTGAGGAGTTATAAGGTGGATTAATGGTGAGTTAAACACCATAATGTTGCTCATTTATTAGGTTGATTAAATGTGACTTTTTTTTTCAAACGATAGATTTCATAAATAGAACACATAATTACAACCGGTTCATTAACCGGAAAAGGGAGGCCTACCCAAAAGGTATCCTAGA